AAAGAAAACAGTGAAAAAACGTTCGAATTCTCTATTGAGAATACCGTGTAAACGCAACGCAAACGCTACAGTCAACAATGCGTGTCTTCGCTGGGCGACGTCTCTGAGTCGTTTTGGCATCGTATCGACAAGTTCCGACACATGCTCACTTGGAACTGTTCCCAGGCTTCTATTTTATTCGCATATAAATGTCCGATGTTAGCGATTAGTCGGGAATGCCCCTCTTATTCGATCAACTAACAAATGTTCTCAATAGGATTCAAATCTGGAGACTGTGCTAACCATTTCAAAGTGGTATAGTTGCCAAAATGATATATATAGTCTTTATTAAATCCTTTACTGTCAATGCTTATTGAACGGGGTCATTATCTTTTTGGAAATGGAAATTGAGTTCAACGATTTTAGTGCCGATGGTACCATTTCGTGTTGCAGGATATCCAAATATTTCCATTTATTCATGTTTGTTGGTACACGGACTGACGATCCTAACCCGGTAGACGAAAAACACCCCAACACTAGTACTATGACGCTTCCACCACTAAATGTTATCTTGGGTTTAATACTTTTCAACTCGTACTCTTCACCTGGACTCAGACATAGAAATAATCTTTAATGGCTACGAAATCACGGGCAGTGCGAAACCAATTCGCTAAACTACGGACCGGTCTTCGCGTCCGTTGTACGCTTTGGTCGATCTGATCGAAGACGATTGCCAATACTACCTCGTAGACCAAGGTTGAAACGCATGAAGCCTTAAGAAAATAATTTCAACTTCCCAATTGGTTCAAATTTACACGAGAAAGGATAATAATGTAGCACATGTTTTATGTACCGCCACTATATACACTGGCATTTACACAAACACGTCATTCAACTCAATGTGTTTGTGTACTTTACTGAAGGTATGTTAATATGTGTACACAACGTCACCTTTGTGACATTACTCAAACACTTGTACGGTAGATATCAGCTGCTTATTCAACCGAGATAGATTTACGTGTGTAAATATGGGGAACCATCTTACTACATATTGTGAATAGCGCCCACCTTGTACCCCTGTACTCTTCCTGTTATTGAATAAAGTTAGATTCCTTGTACACATTTGTCTGTGTACAGTTCTTGTCAACTCAGGTTAAAACAATCTGTGTATTATTGTGTCTCCAACACCAGATTGGACTGCTGCAGACACACCCCCTGAGTGAAAACTATGTATAGTAAATGCGCCGACATGTGTTACAAAAGATTTCAACTTTTCAAGCAGGATTTCTCTTGCCCTGGTATAGGACAAATGAACAGCGTGTAGCTTGTAACCAGCTTTAGTTTTGGAAAGATGAATAAAAATAAAATCAACTGAATCGTCTGAGATATTTGCAAGCTGAAAAAACGAGACATCACACACACTGGACACGTGGGATTACCAGTCTTTGCAATCACGACTAATTTAACTTCTCTCTAAATGTTTGATTTTGATTAACGGGTTATTATATGAGTGGTAGGCGAATGTACTGGCGACTGACTAACTATGCCGACCCTACTTTAGGTAATTTGTTTATTATCCAAGCAACGTTCCGAGCGCCTGTGCACTATCCAGTATAAAATACAGATGTTACCTTGTGTGTAGAATCGTACGTGTCTGAAAGGTGATGTACGTAAATGGTTACGTAAATGTGGCGAATGATTATTGATAAATCGTGTCATTTCAAATTAATTTCATCAATAATGGAACAGTTCACTTGAGGGGTCGCAGTCCGCAAGCGTCAGAAATAAATCACTCCAGTATTTCACATCAATGTCGTTTATTCACTGGTCACTGGTTCGCAAAGGTCACTCCAGTGTCAAGGTTCATTGAACTCGTGGAGAGAATTACAAATTCACGTAAAACTAGAAAAACAAAGGAATACAAAAATACTAAGTAATAATGTAAACAAGTATAAAGTTACTCGAGCAAAGGCATATCCGGTAAACCTGTCCACTATCAATACATGTACATAGACTCATATACTGCCCAATCAACACTTCACTGGCATATCAATTAACAAGGACGTAATCCCATCACACCGACGTTCTACAACTGCCGTTTCATAGTCGATAAACAAGTACACTTCAAGTTCAGTGCAAATATTCAGTACATGTAAATTAGCAATGGCGTCATGTTGTTATGTGCACTCGGCAATGCGTTTTTACTTTCTCGATGATATAACTCTAAATTGTACTCAAAATCACATAAAAAGCATATCAAAATGAACTACAGTAACTTATAATCACAAAGCGTACCTCTATTCCGGGGATCGGTGCTAAATACAACTAAAACTTTGTTGTTTTATCTTCGTCAATCAAATCAGACTAACTTTCTCTTCAAGATGGCATGTCCCGGTCTGTTTGTTCGTTAACTACAGAGGGCGCTATACAAGTAAAATCACTAAACTACATAGAATAGCGTTATCGCTATTAAAACAACGCCGACAGTCGTTACATGGCTCCTCTAAATTGAAGCAATTTACCCAACAAAAATCAAAGACTATATCTACAAATAATACTACTATACTATCGAGGATTGTCTTATACTTCAACATCAGGCTCCTTGACGGGGATACCTTGGCTAACTAACAATACAAGTTTATGTATTGGTCGATCATAAATAGACTGTCCAACTGCTAGGCGGACTTTCCTGACATGACCATCTTCTCTGGGAAAAGTTTTGATGATGCGTGCAAGTGGCCATCTGGATCGCGGCAGGCTATCATCCATCATCATCACAACGTCATCCTTCTGTAGATCTGGTTGGGAGGCAACCCATTTTTGTCGTTCTTGGAGAGTCGGTAGGAACTCTGTCTTCCAGCGGCTCCAGAATTCATTCGCGAGGTACTGCACACGCCTCCAACGGTGGCGACAATACACATCAGCTCTCTGGAATTCTCCGGGTGGTGGAAGAACAACATTAGATTTTAATGTCAATATTTGACTAGGGGAGAGTGGTTCTAATGAGCTTGTTGAACTAACATCAGTGTATGTGAGGGGACGACTGTTCACAATGGCTTCTGCCTCAACAAGTAGTGTTCTAAGCAACTCGTCATCAAGCTGCTTACCATGTGTCATCAGTAAGGCAGACAAAGCATTTCTGGCGGATCTAATCATCCTCTCCCAAACTCCACCCATGTGGCTGGAATGAGGCACGTTCATTTTGAATGTCACCCAATCACAACTGTCCTTTAGAAGCTCATGATGCACTCTCTCGTGATTCATCTCTGTCAACGCACATAGTAATTCACCCTTTGCACCAACAAAATTAGTTCCTCTATCCGATCGAAGTTGACGAATCGGTCCACGGCGGCCAATGAAGCGGCGATAGGCGTTCAGGAACGAATCAGTACTTAGTGAGTTAGCAGTCTCAATGTGGATTGCACGCGAGCTCAAACAGGTGAAAAGCACACCATATCGTTTTAGTTCACGGCGTCCTTCCTTCACGTAGAAAGGTCCAAAGTAGTCCACAGCACTATAAGTAAATGGAGCTGTGGGTTCTAGTCTGTCTCGTGGTAAATCAGACATCCTCTGCACTTGTGCAGGTCTACGTAATTTACGGCATGGAATGCACTTCCACACGTAGGCCGACACTGTTGCTCTGGAAGCTATTATCCAGTATCCAGAAACGCGAATTTCGTTAAGCGTCATACCACACCCAGAATGTCCACTTCTTGCATGGTAATGTGAAATTATCAAACTTGTGACATTTTCTTAGGCAATAACACTGGATGGGTTATATCTCTAGGAAGATTCGCTCTTTTGATTCTTCCTCCTACCCTAAGTATTTCACTTTCATCGAGGTATGGGTCCAGTCGGAATAGGTTGCTAGTCTTCTTCAGTGAGTGCTTCTTTCGGCTATCTCCACCAGTCGTGGTACTTGAGAATTCTGTATTATGGAGAATCTGCAACTCTTTAGCAAATGCCTGTTGCTGTGTTAATTTGATAATTTCCTGCTCAGCCCTTCGCATTTCGTCGACATCAACAGGTATGTATGATATCTTTATCACTTCCTTCAATGATTTTAAGTCTTCACAGACTTTCGGCAGCTTCACACTTCGGTTCACTAGTTTCTTCTTAAATCGTAGACATACAGCGATAGCTCGCTTTGCCTTATGCCAGCTCGAAAAATATTCCAGTCTTGTTAATATGGCTGCATGGCTACCCGGTTTGACTTTTGTAACCAACACAGTTACTTTCTTGACTTCTGGGTCGTCAGGTTGAAAATCTACATGGTTGGTTTCTGGGATCAACGTCGCTGCTGTCGATAGGAATGTTGGTCCCTTCCACCACAAAGTACTCTGGTTCAATTCCTTTGCGCTGACACCTCTCGACGCTATGTCTGCAGGATTATCTTTGGTAGCAATGTGTCGCCATTGCTCTGGAGATGTAAAATCCCTAATTAGTTGAACTCGGTTTGCCACAAAGATGTGAAAACGCCTTGCCTCGTTTGTTATGTAGCCTAGTGTCACCATACTGTCAGTCCAATAAGTGTGAGATATATCTTCATATTGTAACTCTTTGGCCAGGAAATTGCTCACTCTTACAGATGTCACTGCAGCCGTCAGTTCTAATCTAGGAATGGTGAATGGCTTCGACGGGGTCACTCTGGCCTTTCCCATAACCAGAGAACAGGAAACTCTGTTGTGTTCATCCATCAGTCTCAAATAACTGCACTGACCTTAACCGGTTTGACTTGCATCACAGAAGTGATGCAGCTCAGCCATCTTCAACTTACCAAAGTCTGTTGGCTTATAGCATCTAGGAATATTAAGCTTTGAGAGAAGAAGAAGTTCTGCCCTCCATCGTTCCCATCTTACTTTGATATCAGCTGGAATTGCATCATCCCAGTCAGCTCCATCTCTGATTAGTTCTTGGAGTATCCGTTTACCTGTAAGTATAAGTGGAGCTACTAATCCGAGAGGATCGAATACAGAACTCACGGTGGATAGAATTCCACGTCTAGTAAATGGTTTATCCTTCAACTCAATGCGAAATTGAAAGGTATCCAATTCTACACACCACTGAACTCCCAAGGTGCGTTCAATAGGCAGCTCATTGCAGTGAAGGTCAATGTTCTGTATACCCTTGGCTCGTTCACTGGGAGAAATACTTTCTATTACCTCCTTACTGTTGGAGATATACTTGTGGAGTCGGAATCCTCCTCTTTTACAAAGTAGTTTACTACTTTCTATCAAATGTATAGCTTCAGATGGAGATGCTACCGATTTCAAACCGTCGTCTACGTAGAAGTCCTTTCTCACAAATTCAGCTGCTGCAGTACCATACTCATCTTCATACAAATCGGCTGATGCCTTCAGGGCAAAGTTAGCACATCCTGGTGATGATGTGGCTCCGAAAAGATGTACAGTCATCCTAAACTCAATTGGCTCTTGGTCTAGTTTTCCGTGTTCCCACCAGAGAAATCTCAGATAGTCGCGGTCTTTAGAATCGACTCCGACTTGGTGAAACATCCCTTCTATATCGCAAGTGAATGCGATTGGCTCCTGTCGGAAACGACACAATACTCCTGTGAGATTGTTTGTCAAATCAGGTCCTTGTAATAGATGATGGTTTAGGACCTCACCATGATATTCTGCACTGCAGTCAAAGACTACTCTTATCTTTCGAGGTTTTTTAGCATGGTATACACCATGGTGGGGAATATACCATATACGACCTTCTACTTGAGAATCTTCATCAGCAGGTATCTTCTCCGCAAATCCCTTGTCTACTATGTCGTTCATGAAGGCTATGTAATCTGCCTTATACTGCGAGTCCTTTATCATCTTACTTTTTAGCCTTGCTAATCGTTTCACAGCCAGTATTTTATTGTTTGGCAGATTGATATTATCATCCTTAAATGGCAAGGGAATTTCAAAATGCCCGTCATCTCGTTGATGGATTCCATCACTAACCTTCGTCAAGAATCGTTTGTCTTCGATTGAGACTTTTTCTTCTGAACTCCTCTCATTAAAGTCAACTTCGAACATCTTTTTTAACTGAACTGGGTTAATCTCCTTTGCTTGTGTTTTGTATGCAAAGTGACATCTTCTTTCATCGGCACTCACAAGTCTGCAGTTGTAGTTATTCATGCTGTCGTCATTCGGGTTGTGCATCATGCCAATAACTCCCCAACCTAGGGCTGCCTGGACAGCATATGGGTCGTTCTCGTTGCCAGGTATGACATCTCTGGGCTTCAAGGCACGCGTACAGTTCAGACCAATTAACAGGCCTATCTCAGCATCGCTCTGGTATGGATACAATTTCTCTGCGACTTTCTTTAAGTGAGGCCATTGTCTGATGGTTTCAGGCTTCGGTATCTGGCTGTGGCTGGCTGGAATCACCTCTCTAGTGTAAACACTTGGTAAATTTATATTTGTAACACCATCCATATCCTTAACAACCAGACCATCGATCTTCTTACTAGTAATTATCTTCTCATCTAGCATCGTTGAAAGCTTTAAATTAACTATAGATCCTCTTGCTAGGATCTTATTCATTGTGGTTTCTGATAAAAAGCAGGAATCTGACTGTGGGTCTAGTAGTGCGTACACCCAATGTTTGGTGACCTGGAGATTCTTGGTGATGTAACATGACAGGAACGATAAGTGAGTGAGAGCATGTCTGTTTCTCTGTTTCATTCTGCTCATTAGTATGTTTAACTTGCAAGCTGTGTGATATGGCGCTATCAAGCTTGGGCTCCCTACCAACATTAACATTTGGCTTGAATGCATCATCGTGTAGTACTGTAGGGTGAGCACGCTTACAAGTGTCACATACTTTCTTATATCTACAATCACGGTATCTATGTCCCCCATTTTAGACATCCCATACAAAGCCCTTTAGACATCACAACAGCTTTTCTTTCTGTATATTTCATTTTGAGAAAGTCTTTACATTTCTCTAAGATGTGTTCTCCCTTACATAGAACACAACATCGTTTCACTTTAGCTGTGTCGATGGTTGATGTGGGTTGCTCTTCAACAGCAGCAGTCTTCTTAATCTCATCTGCCTCTGTTGCAAAACTTCTCGCACCACTATATTTACTACATTTTCCACGCTTTGAGTCTTCTTTCTTATCATCAGCTTTCAAGTTTGCTGGGCTACATGCGATACGAGCCTCTCTACTTAGGAACTGACACAACTCAGCAAATGGCGGGTAACGATCATATGAATCACCATGTGTCATGTGAGACTCATCATTCAGCACACTATCTACCTTTCTCATCCATCGGTCAGAAATACTCTTTGGGATTTTCCTTAGAACTTTCTTCTGTTCATCAGGATCATTCAATACCCTCAGATATCCAATGGTCGTCATGGCTGTTTCACAATGAAGTAGAAAGTCTGTGAATTTTCTCAATTCCTTGCCATCGCTGGATTTTATCTGTGGCCAGTCATTGATTTGTTTCTTGTATGTGTCGGCGACAATCAATTTATCTCCATAGCGCTCAGCTAGTAATTTCTTTGCTTTGATATAAGCTTTTTCGCTACTTAACGTCAGTAGACCTTTAATAACGTCTTTGGCTTCACCAGTAGTATATTTGCCAAGGTAATATAATCTGTCAGCAGATAATGGCTTCCTCTGTTCAACAAGCGTTTGAAAAGAAGTAATCCAGGCAGGATAGTCGTACACATTACCGCTGAAAACATCCGGCTCCTTTCTTGGGAGCTCTTCCTGTCGACTAGATAATATATCAGCCAATCGGTTTAGCGCACCTGCAGAATCAGTTTGACGTGGAGATGTCTGTGATTCATCAATATGGTTATTGCTATCTTCTAACGGTTGATGCAAAATGTGCTCATAGTTTGGCAATGTCACTGAAGGTGGTCTATGTCTGGAACATGTATATCCTGTGGAAAATTTCTTCGGACGTTGTTCTGGTATTGACAACATCTTGACTTGAAGCAAACTGTGACTCGTCTGTATATTTACTGCCTATATGAAATGGTTGCAGCTGCCTAGTACTCGGTAATGGTGTGGGGTTAAGAGATGATATTCCAGGAGTATCTGGTGAAAAACGTTTACGTCTCCCTTCTGTTGGTCTTGTGTCACAGTCACCTGTATTAGCATAACGAGTTTCATCAGCATGAGAGGAAGGTTCCTTTAATAGACCATGGTATGTCGTTTTTGTCCCACTCTGACTTCCATCTTGCTCATACTGATCTAGGACCTTTGACTTATTTTCACTAACGGCAATTACTTCTTTGAGATCGATTTCTTCTTTCATATTTCTAATCTCGAACTCAAGATCATCTTGCATTTCCTTAATCTCTAACAAGGATTGTTCTCTAATCAATTCTAGACGTCGTTTTTCCTTATCAATTTGCCGTCTTCTCTGAAGAGCGGCACTTTCTAGGCGCATTCGCTCCTGGTGGGCGGCTGTACGAGCAGCGTACTCAGCTCTTTTCTGGTCTTCTTGGAGTCGTAGCATACTAATATTTGTATGGGTGGAACATGAACTAGCCTTAGAGCTCTTTGATTTTCTGGAAGCTCTGCTTGTTTGAGAAACACTGTCGTATTGGTCAACGTCAGCATGACGATCTTTCTTATCTTGTTCCTTGGCAAAGAAAGACTGCACGGCAGACTTAAATGATTCAATGTATTCTCGTCTTTGTAAAAATATTGATTCATGTTTACTAAATTCGTCTTCGTGTAGGAGAGCACGATACTCATGTTCGCACTGCAGAAATCTTTCACATAGAAATAAACATTCCTTATAACCTTCATGTATGGCCTTGGAATCACCATTATTTGCTATTAAATCATATGTGTTCTGCATAATTCCGTGGAGTTGTCTATATGCATGCTCATACCTTTTCTTATTCTCTTCATATTCATTCTCCAGGGCTTTATCTGTTAACTTGATAGGTCTTCCATAGCTACTAGTATACCCAGGGTCCCTTATATGTGATGCCATGGTCTTTATTTCCACATTTGTTTTCTCCAGTTAGAGTTGTACTCACCGGTAGAGTTTTACTGTGGCGAATGATTATTGATAAATCGTGTCATTTCAAATTAATTTCATCAATAATGGAACAGTTCACTTGAGGGGTCGCAGTCCGCAAGCGTCAGAAATAAATCACTCCAGTATTTCACATCAATGTCGTTTATTCACTGGTCACTGGTTCGCAAAGGTCACTCCAGTGTCAAGGTTCATTGAACTCGTGGAGAGAATTACAAATTCACGTAAAACTAGAAAAACAAAGGAATACAAAAATACTAAGTAATAATGTAAACAAGTATAAAGTTACTCGAGCAAAGGCATATCCGGTAAACCTGTCCACTATCAATACATGTACATAGACTCATATACTGCCCAATCAACACTTCACTGGCATATCAATTAACAAGGACGTAATCCCATCACACCGACGTTCTACAACTGCCGTTTCATAGTCGATAAACAAGTACACTTCAAGTTCAGTGCAAATATTCAGTACATGTAAATTAGCAATGGCGTCATGTTGTTATGTGCACTCGGCAATGCGTTTTTACTTTCTCGATGATATAACTCTAAATTGTACTCAAAATCACATAAAAAGCATATCAAAATGAACTACAGTAACTTATAATCACAAAGCGTACCTCTATTCCGGGGATCGGTGCTAAATACAACTAAAACTTTGTTGTTTTATCTTCGTCAATCAAATCCGACTAACTTTCTCTTCAAGATGGCATGTCCCGGTCTGTTTGTTCGTTAACTACAGAGGGCGCTATACAAGTAAAATCACTAAACTACATAGAATAGCGTTATCGCTATTAAAACAACGCCGACAGTCGTTACAGTAAACACTATCTACCGGAAGTGTTGTTACAAACTGTTTTGACGTAGCCCATTGCTTCCAATGCAAAAAGTATTGTCTGTACTTCATAACTGTTGATGGTTGTCTGGCACCCATTAGAAAGCTTGGCAGGTCGCGGTAGTTGATTACTAGATACTCTAAGAGGGGGTAGATCTACTGTACATATAATTCATTTTCTTTCACTTAGTTTTCACCTACATTTTGTTATGATATTGTTGGTGTAATTCTTTTCTGGTATTTGTGAGATTTGTTCGATTAATATATATTTATGTCCTGTAACATTTCTTGTATATTTTCTTGTTTATATTGTTCTCTGTGCAGATTTTTCTTTTCAATGTGCACCATCCCGTCAACACTGTTCAACCTCTATGACAGATTTACAATCTTCAGTTGAATAATGTTGTTTATAATTGTACACCATGCTTTCTACCCACCAAGTACTACTGTGGGTTTGTAAATTTGAACACATTTGTGATTTAGGTGTACACTACGTGGAGGAATCTATAATATAATACCCGGCTAAAGATCACTACAGAAACACCAGTCTTAATGACTGCCTGGATATCGGTTCATCACTGCTCAATGACCTAACATCGATATTACTCCGATTTTGT